AAAACGAGACAAATACGATGTTAAAAAGTTCCATTGACAAAAAACCAAAAATAAAGAATTTTAATTTTTAAATTTAAAAGACAGAACACGCACGAGTCTTTCATGTTTGCCGAACGCTCAAAATTCTATCCCTCCTTGTCTTTTGTATCGCTGTCTCTTTCTACATTCGGCACACTACAAAAAATGTAGGACCTCTACCGTAAATGTTACAATCAAGACCGGCAAAAGTAACATTTACGGAGTGAATACTGTAATGCCAAACAGATTTAACCTTGAATTCGAATATTTGAATGGTTTATCAGTGCTTAGCGTTACGGAACTTGCCAGCAATTTTAATACCTTTGACATCTTTTACGACCTTAAAAATTCTAAAACCTCTAAGCAAGCCTTGTATATCTTATTCTGTATACATATGCGTGTAATCTATATATCTTTTAAATCCTCGGTTGTTTTTGGCACATTATTTCTCTCCATATAAATCTTAATAAGAGAGGTCAAAATTGAGAACCCTCACATTCGAACGCAGATAGAAAAACATCTGAACACAGTCGCGTAGGGTAATAAACATTACCTGACGATGCTGCGAGGTGATAATATACCTAGCATGCTCTCAAATATTTGAATTTTAACAACGCGAAAGGTTATAATACCGTTATAATAATTTTATAGCGGTTATAATAATTTTCAACACTGTGTGTAAGTTATACCTAGTACCTCGTGTACGACTTTGTTTTCATTTTTACCAAAAAAATTTCCGAACATTAATTCGGTTTTAAGGATGAAGTCTCATGACAAATAAACTAAGGATCGATTTTTGGAACCTCTGGCGAAAAATACGACGGTTTTTGTTTATGTTGTTTTGGTCAGAACAAATTTAAGTCTAGCTTACAGTCTAGTTTGAAATCAAAAGGCAATATCTTATCATACTTTTTTCACAGATATTCTTTAGATTATACTTAAGGGACGTATATTAATATACATATTAACTCTTCACCATCATGAAGATTAGCAGAGATTCTAAAGAAATTGTTTTAACAAATTTTATAAGTTTGTGAGTTTGTAAGTATATAAATTAATATACATATTAACTCGTTACCTTCATGAAAATTACCAGAAATTCTAAAGAAATTGTCTTAACAAATTTTGTAAGTTAAAATGAAAGACTTGTAAAAGTGTCATTTGACCTTTTTCATAATTTTAGTGTTGATACAGTATTAAATATAACATTAAAATTAATATACTAACATATAATGTAACATTAAATTCTCTATAAGCTGAAATAAAGTAAGTACAGACTGGTTTTTGCAAAGTTGGTATTTAAACGTAAGTATTTTCAGTCTGCTATGTAAATACTTAACGCTGTCGATATCGAACGATTTGCACAATTACTACTATTTAATTAATATTAACTAGGACCTTAATTTTCCTTGTATATTTTGATTTTGATAGGAAATTATTTAAAATGTCAACTACTCTGCACTTTCCCCGAAAATGGGGTAAGAGCGTAACTTGAAGTTAAATACTTTGAAACTTTATTTCATGTGCAATGGGGCAAGAGCAGAATTATTAACAAATCTGCTATAAAATGCTTTTTACTGCATTATGCAAGTACTCTATACTGCAAACAAGTACTCTTAGCTGAAATATAAAAGGGGATATAGTGAAACAAAACAAGGAAACAAATATACTAAATGAAGAAATTTCGCTCATATAGTAATAAAAATATCCTATATACGTACTTGCCCCGTTTACGAACTTACCCTACTTCGTCTTATCCATTAATATTTGCAAACCAAAAATTTAACAAATAAAATTACATTAATACTGAAAGTGAAGAGAAAGCAAAGTACAAAATATTAAACAATATCCTGCCTTAATACCTAATTATCTTAATCGCTACCAAAAATACATAAGTATCTTTCATATACAATTTATTTTGGTCTCCTTACCACAAATCTGCACTCATTAATCTGATTGATTTGAGGATTATATGCTTTTAGACCGCTATTGTCTGTAAATAAATCATCATAACTTCTTAATTCCAGTCTTTATTAAGAAAGATTAGCAGACGCAGATATGTATTTATCTTCAAGATAACATCAACTGATATTCTAGCAATGAGTTATTGATTTCATCAAACTTGATGGATTTCTTTTAAAAGATACGTAAATCTAAGGTTCAATCAGTTAAAAAATATACGTACAGAACAGATTTTGCTGTGTCTATTCAATTACATGCTTCATCTGTTTGATGGATGTGTCTCTTAATCTAATCATTCTTATTACATGCTACTTTTGTTCGATATTTCCAAATTCGTTTTAGAGTTGCTGCTATATTTTATATTATGAATATTTGTACACACAGAACTAGTAAAGTTTAACAATTAGTATTCAATTATTATAAAACGTTTAATTCTTGTTCGTGAAAAATATGCACGATCTTTGCAGAATATTTGAAAGGGAGCATAACAAATTTTGCAAAATTATAATGAATATTTGAATGACACAATGGCGAAATTCAAATTTAAAAATTTGTTAATTTTTAATGTTGAAAAATTGGAAAATGAATTTGTGAATTAATAAATTTTACAATTTGAATTTGAAGATTTCTGTATTTTTGAAGCTTCTTTAAGAAATTCTGGGTTTTCATATTTGCAAACTTGTCGTTTTTTAGATTTTTTAATTTGTAAATTTGTTGTTTGTTAGATTTCTTAATTTGGAAATTTGTGTTTCTTGATTTGACAATTTGAAAATTTGAAGCTTATTAAATTTGAAAATTTGTAGTGTTTTAAATTTTCAATTTTTAACATTTCTAGTTTTTTAAATTTCCAAATTTTTAAATTTTGAGTTTTACAAAGTTAGAAATTTTTAGCTTTCTAAATTTACAAATATGAAAATTGGCAATGTTTTATCTATCTTAATTTGAAAATTTCTGGATTTCTAAATTTTCAAATTTGAAAATTTCCAGTTTCTTAAAAACACAAATTTGTACATTTCTAGTTTCTTATATTTGCAAATTTGCAAATTTTTAGTTTTATAAATATGGAAATTTGGAAATTGTTATCTTTCTAAATTCACAAATATGAAAATTTGTAATGTTCTACGTTTCATAATTTCAAAAGTTTACCTTCTCTAATCCTAAAAGCCCCCAAATTTAAAAAATAATGAATTTCTAACTTTCTAAATTCAAAGATTAAAATTTAATCACTCTTTTTATCATTTTCTTTAACTACTCTATATCTTTTCTTTTCTCTTAACGTATGCAATATCTCTTACTGTAAGAGCAATTTTTATTTCGCAAAGGCAGATGTTGAAACATTATTTCATTATTTGAAAATGCAATATGCAACAAGTGTCAAATACTACATTATACATATTTCAGACCACTTTTCGTGATACTTCGCTTCGAGTTAAATGAAGAAACAATTATCTCTTAAATTTTTGTCAATACTCATGTACGACAATATGTTCGAATGCGTCTGATTAAAAAGGAAGCTGTCGGAGATTATGTTACGATATAAATTATAAATTATCGATGAAGTATCAATGTTCTGTGGATGAAATACAATATCTTTTATCTATCACAATAGTCGATTTAGGAAGGTTTTTATATTATAAAATGACGTTTGTTGGATTACTTTTGTTAAATTGTAATACTTCCCATGTTAGTCTTTTTATAAAATAAATTATTTAGTTGTATGTATTGTAATTGTTTTTCATAACTATGAATAATTGATATGAATTTCTATTTTTTTTGACTGCTTGTATCTACATATTGTAATATTTTATAAAATAAAGTTACAATAACTCAGTAGAAAGTTGTAATAATTAATAGTTAGAACATTATAAATAACTAAATATTATTTTAAAATATGTATGAAATTGTATTAGAAGCTGTATTTAATGAAGTAAACTATAAGTTACATTTGAAAATATCTTAATGTGAGATATAATTAACATATAGCATAAAAGGCACAAAGACTATGATTAATAAAATCTTAACTTAAACTTCAATCAAATAACTACTCACTTCCGAACCTTCACATAAACAAAGTAAATTAAAACGCTAATTATTAAGAAATGAATGTTAAAAAATAAAATTTTCGAATATTACCTTTTCTTCGAAAATTACATCCATTTCTTGTTATTAAATAAATTCAATTAAAACGAAAAATATTTTATATAACAGAAATATATTATAGAAATATATTATATTCATCCAACTCTTATATTTTATATTTATATTGATTGATTAAAAACTCGATTTATATATCTTCCTTCTTTACATCCTTATAAATAATTTCGTCTTCATTTTTTTCAATTATTTTACAAATTCTCTTGTACCTCACAAAAGTATCTTAAAGCTTGCACTATTATTTTCCATAAAATATTAGATATGTTCCTGACTTACACTCACAAAAATTTCATACTTGCAATATTAAATATTTATCTAGGATATAAAAAATAAAGTTTAACTTACATTATATAAATATTCCGTTCCCATTATCAATCGCGTGCCTGCTCATATCATAATAAAACCACCGATAGGGAACATTTCACAACAAATCGACACTTAAAAGATAATACTCTTGATTGAAAATCGATGGATTGCCAGACGTTATCAATCAAGACTTTCACACATGAAAAAATGAATACTTTATCGGCGTGATTTACGCTTCTCGTAGGTATATAAAGAGATCGATACAATTTTTGTGACATAGTTGGCAACTTTATTCCAACATGCAGTCTCTAAGCGTTCCTCTTCTTCTTTGCCTCTTTGCCATCGCATATGGTAAGAAAAATTAAAAAAAAATATATTCAAGCTTTACATTTACAAAGTAAATTTTCTAATTTGGTGTCAATTAATGGAATAATTCCTTTTATTATTTTTGTCTTGATTATTCTTTCATTAAAAGCCGATCAAGTTATATAATTGGAATGAGGTATCAAATTTTTAAAGTGACCATCGCTGGTTTGAAAGAAACTCGGCTCGTACTACACGTTGTTCTCTGATTTCTGTGTTTGCAAGTGAAATACTATTCAAGTTTTTAATCTTTAAAGGATAAGATTTAAGTTTGCAAGCTAACCGGTTTTGAAATTAAATAAATATTTCTGAAACTTGATAAATGTCACATTAAAAGTGGATTACAATATTACTGTGCATTACTAAAATAGCAGTGCTGTCAATCATTTTCACGTGCTTCTTTTTAAATCATCGATTTGATTATCTATAATGACGCTATATGGCAGCCATCTTGTCAAACGTTTATACAGAATAATTTACTAGAACAAGTCCTTTATTTAATTTCAATTAGACAATAAATGTCACAAAAGAAGGATAAATGATTAAATAGGGACTAATGTTCTAAACCATACTTTTCTTACAAGTGTAATAATATAAATGCATTTTAGAATTGCGATTTTGTAAACTTTGGTATACATTTCTTTCTACACAAATCGAATCATTATTTGTCGTAACAAACCTAACAAAAATAAAGTAGTTAAAAAATCATAAATTACTGAAATATTTTAAATAAATATGTGAAATAAAATTGGAATGTATTTAATAAAAAGCTGCGATTCACATACAATATTGCATTTGTGAATAAAATGTGGTGCCCAAAGTGTAATTCTCCTTTGACCGCTTACCTTCTTCGTTTAACACGTTCGTGCTAAGCCATTTTTGCCTGACTTGTCGTTCAGGCCATTTGATATTTTAAAAATTAATATATTATCACACAATATTTCATTACATTCTCAATACATAAGTAATTCTTTTTTTCTTTTATTCTATACTGCATCTTGTATAATGCTTCATTTTTTAGGTAGAAATATAATTTACAGAATTATATTTGATATAAAATATATGTTTTCAGCGCATTGAATAAATATGACTGCGTGTACCACCGGTGGTACACGTGGCCTGACAATCAAGTTTACCGTGTACCACCGGTGGTACACGTGGCACGGAACGTGTTAACAATTGTGAAAGAGATTCAGCATACATCATTTCCATAGAATAGCTAATTTATTTGTTTCTGCAATACCGTAAAGGTGATAATTGTGATTGTATGAATGCAGGATTCCCTGAATCCCAAATTGTCGGTGGCAAAGATGCACCATCCGGGATGTTTCCGTACCAGGTCTCCCTGAGAAAAAGCGGCAGCCATTTCTGTGGTGGATCAATCCTCAACTCCAGATATGTTCTGACGGCCGCTCACTGTGTCCAAGGGTATGTTTCAAAGAATTTATTACTAATTCTGTTTCATGATATTGTTTAACAATTTTTTAGAATCGGTCACACACTGTTTAATATTTTTCCGACTGATTTTAATTGACAATTTCAAACATAGTCTTATATTTTTCGTGCGATGAAAAGATTAATATTGAAAGATTCCATGATGAATGCCGTCATCTCACCAAACACGTTTGTTCGACAGGTTATCCGACACATCTAAAGTCACCGTCCATGCTGGTACCACTCTTTTGAGTTCCAAGGGAGAAACTTATGGAGTTGAGAAAATTGCTTCTCACAAACGTTTCAGCATGATCCTTCTTATCAACGATGTCGCTCTGATTCGCGTTAATAGGAAGATCGAATTCAATAACTTGGTCCAACCAATCACTTTGGCTACTGGTAGCAACACTTATGAAGGCTCAAACTGCATCTTGTCCGGATGGGGAACGCTTAAGGTTAGTTTCACATTTCATTGATGATTTCTATACCTCCATCATTCCAGACTTTTAATTTCTGGATTTCACAATGCTTTCATATTTGCATGTCTTTATTTTTACATATCAAAATTTTTATATTTTCTGATGTTTAAATTTCTTCATTTGGAGATCTGTAGATATTTATATTTGTAGATTTTTAGATTTTTAGATTTTTAGATTTTTAGATTTTTAGATTATTTTTAGATTTTACATATCAAAATTTTTATATTTTCTGATGTTTAAATTTCTTCATTTGGAGATCTGTAGATATTTATATTTGTAGATTTTTACATTTTTACATTTTTACATTTTTACATTTTTACATTTCTACATTTCTGCATTTTTGTATTTCTACATCCCCATATTTCTGTATTATCCAATTACTAGACTTTTAAACAAGATAATTAGATTTTTAAATAAGTTTAATCTGTAAGTGTGCAAGCCAAAATAATTTTGACAAACAGAAGCTACAATCTCAATTTCTTCATACAGGCTGGTGGAAACCTTCCAGACAACCTTCAGTACATAAACCTGCTTATCCAAAGCCAATCCAAGTGCAAACAAACTCACATCAACGTGAGAAGTACGCACATCTGCACTTTCACCAAATACGGCGAAGGAGCTTGCAACGTAAGTACAATTACCTGATTTTCCAACATACGTGAATATGTATAAAATATTATGACGAAGGATGTCTGAGATCTGACTAACTTTTTGCTTTATGACGAGTTTGCATTCATGGTCTATGAATTTGTTCGAATTTCACAAGGGACTCTGTTTATTATAAAATTCCTTACCGACGATGTCGTTAATTATAATTTATCTTACTGTATTGCAATTCTTTATAACATTATAGTAATCATACATTTTTTATCTTATAACACGATAATAATATTTTCGCCATTTGCAGGGTGACTCTGGTGGCCCTCTCGTTGTCAACGGTGTCCAAGTTGGTATTGTGTCTTTCGGAAGACCTTGCGGTATTGGCTACCCTGATGTGTACACCAGAGTGTCCTCTTTCGTATCCTGGATCGAGGAACAACAAACTTACCTTCAAAGAGACGAAATTGCAGCAGAATCTGAAGATGCTTTCTATCTTGCCTAAACTGATGATTGTACCCAAATACTCTGTTAATTGGTCGTGAAATTCAAGGACAACGATGTTCTAATGATAATTCTTGTAATGCAATAGTTAAATTTCAAGTTTGCTACTGGTAAACCTGGTATGTGATATTATTCCAAATACATCTCGAGTTTTTAAATAAAATATGTTATTTTGCAACAATATGCTTAGTACTGTTATTAGTTCTTTTTACTTCCTAATCTTATAATACAGGATTATAAGTTGTGAAACGATATCAAATTAATACAACGCATTAACACTAAAACTACCGACATTAAATACTCGTTTATCGAAGAATGAAAAATAAAATGAAAAGGGAAATAAATAAATACTAAAGCAACAAGTAACATATAGAATTAGTTTTTACCTCAGCAAAATATGACAGACATTTCCATAAAATCATGACAATAAAATGAGAAATCTGAAACCAGTCATTTTGACGGGTTGGTAGTTCTAGTGTTAATATTAACTCTTAACGCTCCAAGTGTGCCTCTCAAGCAACATTGATGTGCGCCGTTACATTACTCAATTATAATTAATATAAATATTGTAATTAAAATTATATTATTTCTGAGATGACTAAAGATTGTTTCACTTTAATATTATTATTTACACGTCATTGTAGCATTTGAAATCTGAGACTTAAAAACTTGTGACGATGAGAATAAGTTTTCGATTTTCATTTAAAAGTCGGAGCGTTAAGGGTCAAACCTCTATAACATTTCAAACTAAAGAATAATAATATAGTTCTAGAATTAAAAAATGCGGATTTTCAGTCTGAAGACAAACCGAAAATTTCTTTACGATTCTTTAATTAGTGACAGCGTTTTTTTTTTGAGACTTTAGATGGAGAAAGTAAAATGGAGTATTAGTTTAAATTAGAGGTTAAGGTATTGAGATATACAAAAATCTAAGTCAACTCTTCATCAGTTATACATCTTGTCATAGTATCATTAATTATTCTAAATAGGCAGATAAATTCTATTAAATATACTACTAAATATGAATTATACTAAATACACAGTTCTAAATAAACATATAAATTTACTTTATTTTCGGAATGTTTATTTGCTTCTAATAGTGTCAAGCGCTCTCATGAAAACCAAGTCGAAAAAATCAATGGATAGTGTACGATAGTACGAATACTAGATCCAATCTTGGAAAAGATAGAAAAATAGTAGACTGCGATTGGTCGTTGTTCATGACATCTCTCCAATCATAAACTCATTTATTACAGTATTTTCATAATTCTCAGCTGTTTCATTATATTTAATTAAAAAAATGAAATTATATCGCAAGTATGATTACTGCTACGTATGTCCTCAAAAAAAAAAATCATTATTTCGCATCCAAATTATCGACAACTTCAAGATAAAAGTCATTATCACTATTTTCAATTTCATAATGTGCCCTTTTTTCTTGTCATTATAATAGTTAATCTTTATTTAACATTTTTACAGTGTTTTAATAAAAAAATATTTGCACTTGAAAAAAAATGCGTAAAATCTTAGGTGTGCTTTTACTTCGTTAAAGATATGAGCATCATCTCCTCTAGTCATTTGGGACACCTGGTCTTCACGCGCCAACTCGTGGGTTGACATCGGTACCTATCAATGTCAAAATAACACAACCGATAGGGAACATTTCATAGAAATCGGCACTTAAAAGATAGTATTTTTAATTAAAAATCGAAGTATTGTTGCACGTTATCGATTAAGATTTCCACAAATAAAATGTAGAATATTTTGTTTGTCTTTATCGGTATGATTTGCGCTCTCGATACGTATATAAAGAAGTCAGTACAGTTTTCATCAGTTAGTTGGATATTTTATTGCAACATGCAGGCTGTGAGCGTCTCTCATCTCTTTTGCATTTTTACCATCGTATATGGTAAGAAAAATTTAAAAAAATAATATATTCCAGCTTTAAAGTAAAAATTCTAATTGTCTGGTGTTAAAGATCTACTAGTTTTTACTTACTTTTTTATTTCATTTCTTTTATCATTGAAGGACAATCAAGTTAAACAAGTGGAGTGAATTAACAAATTTTGAAAGTGAACACCTATCATTGGTTTAAAAAGAAACTTGTTCTGTACTACATATTGTTACTTGATTCTTGTGGTTGTACGTAAAATGTTATTCGTGATTGCAATTTTTGAATTTGAAAATTTCTTGTAAACTCAAGAAGTTTATATTTATTAAACTCTAGCGTTCTTAAATTTTTAAGTTTAATAAATATATTTGAAACATGTTGAATGTCATCGTAAACGTGATCCTACTACGTGTATAATACTACTATGCACTATTAATTTAACAGTGTTGCCAATCATTTTCACGTCGTATCTCTTAAATTCTGGATTTCATTAAATTAAATTTAATAATTAACATTCCCAATGATTAAGTTAAATTCAATTTCATTAAATTTGGTGGATTTTACTTTAAATTAAATATAGCAACCATTCTGTCAAGCGCTTACGCAATGATTTAATAGAACAAGGCGAAACTTTCATCTAATTTCAAGTAAACAATAAATGTAAAATGATAAGCAACTGAATAGAATCTCATGTTTTGAGAGTCATACTTTTCTTATAAGTGTAATGATGACGTTGCAGTTCACACTTCCAATATCTTCGTAAACTTTGGTACATGTGGCTTTTTAGACAAATCAAGTAATTCTTGTAACAGAATATATGCAAATTGAAAAGGTTTAAAAATAATTAATTATAGTAATATTCTAAATAAGTATTAAAAAATAGAATTGGGGTGCAATTTTTTAATAAAAATTTATGGTCTACAAATTGTGGTCCACAAACAACGTACAATGTTGAATTTGGGAATAAAGTGTGATCTCAAAAATGTGCTTGTCTTTTAACCATTCACGTTTTCCGATCAATAATTATTATTATTACAAAAAGGTTCAATGTATCTCATTTCTATAAAATAGATAATTCCTTTTCTTCTGCATTACCATAGAGGTTATAATTGTGATTGTATTATTGCAGGATACCCTGAGTCCCAAATTGTCGGTGGCAGAGATGCACCAGTCGGGATGTTTCCATATCAGGTCTCTCTGAGGGAAGATGGAGACCATTTCTGTGGTGGTTCCATCATCAGTTCCAGATATGTTCTGACTGCAGCTCACTGTGTCGATGAGTATGTTTTGCGTGAGTAGCTCCCATAATCCCGACAGTCAAAATTCTGACTCTCATAAGTCCGTCAACCAAAATCCAGTCAGTCTGAAATCCCGACGAACCAAAAATACTGAAATCCAAATTCCCGATACCCACATAACGCGGCAATAATTCCTTCTTCTATTTCTTATGAAGAACACTCTACTTCAAATAACTAAATTAAGCAAACTATTTCAATCCTGTTAATATGTACTTATACAGGTATATTGTTTTCATAAGCGACAGTTGATTGATGAAACAACACAATGGCTAAAATAATATTATAATATCAAAATGAACGCAACGATAATACCCAAGAACTTAATGATCAGGATTGTTTTATAAAGAAACACATTTGTTTAACAGTTATGATGATCCATCGAACGTCACCGTTCACGTTGGAACGAACCTTTTGAGTTCTAAGGGCGACACTTACCGAGTGGAGAAATTTGCCTTTAATGAAAAATTTGGCACGAAAAGCGCTCTCTACGATATAGCTATGATTCGCGTCGACAGAGAGATTGTCTTCAATGATTTAGTACGACCGATTCCATTGGCAGCAGGGAATAATACTTATGAAGGATCAGAATGTGTTTTGTCTGGATGGGGTGATACTAAAGTAAGTTTCATGTTTTATTAATGATTTCTATGTTTGCAAACTTACCAGATTTAAAAAATTTTTAATGTCCAAAGTCGATTCATATAGTTAGGATTTTTAGATTCCTAAGTGATCGGATTATTAGATTTGTTGATTTCTATATTTCTAGGTTTCTAGATTTCTGTGGAATTTTGGAATTTTGGAATTTTGGAATTTTGGAATTTTGGAATTTTGGAATTTTGGGATTTTTTAACTTTTAGATTTCTAGATTTATAAATTTTTAATTTCTAGATTTCTAGATTTCTAGATTTCTAGATTTCTAGATTTCTAGATTTCTAGATTTCTAGATTTCTAGATTTCTAGATTTCTAGATTTCTAGATTTCTAGATTTCTAGATTTCTAGATTTCTAGATTTCTAGATTTTTAGATTCTAGATTAAAAAAGTTTTAGATTACTAAATTTCAGGGTCTCTCATAACTAATGTAAGTCCCTGAAATGGGAGGTAACTGACGTGACTTTGAATGAGATTTCCCTTTCAAAAAATGGGGTTCAAAGCTTCGGTTGTGAATTATTAAGGAAAAACGCAGACCAATCATAGCGCGAGATTTACGTGCCCCAGACGCGAGAGTGACAGCTTCGAACCTAGCGCGTAATCCCCGTGCTCTGATTGATCCGTGTTTTTCCTTAATAATTCAAAAATAAAGCTTCAAATTTCGTTTTGGCAAAGGGAAATCTTATTCAGAATCACGTCAGCTACCCCCCATTTCAGAGACCTACTCTGTGAGACACCCTGTATATCTAGATTTCTGGATTACTAGATTTGTAGATATTTAACCATATAATTTTCGCAATTTTCCTAACCTAACGTAAATTAAAAAATTTTCAAATTTTGACTTTCTTAATATCCAATTTTTTGAGCTTCTGAATTTTAAAATTATTGGACATGAAAATTTATAGATCTTCAATTGTTAAGGTTATCAAGTTTCTAAGTTTTTAGATTTATAAATTTTTAATATATTATGTTAAAATAATTTTAAGTTTGATTCGCTTAACATTGTGATACAGTATAATTAATTAAGATAATAATGATAAATGACGTAATATCAATTTATCCATACAGGTTTGGGGACCTACTCCAGACAAACTGCAATATATAAATCTACGCATTGTAACCCAAGCGAAGTGTAAAGAAGCACACAATAATGTGGACGGTACTCATATCTGCACTTACACCAAATACGGCGAAGGAGCATGCAGTGTAAGTGCAATTACCAATTAGCAATTTACATTCACGTTCCATGATCGTGTTCTAATTTAACAAAAGACTTTATCAATTCTTGGACCCCTTTCTAATGAAATCATTCATTATAAATATTCCTACTGTATTACAATGCTTTATAACATTATAGTAATCATGCATTTTTTATCTTATAACACAATAATAATATTTTCTTCCTTTTCAGGGTGACTCTGGTAGCCCTCTCGTTGTCAATGGCGTGCAAGTTGGCATTGTATCATTTGGAATGCCTTGTGCTGTTGGTTACCCTGATGTGTTCACTAGAGTGTCTTGTTTCGCGTCCTGGATCAAGGAACAGTATACTCTCCTCCAGAAGGACGAAATTGCAGCACAACCAGAAGACATCATTTTTGTCCTCTAAATGGCTTTAACCTCATACTTTCTTAACTAATCATCAAAATTGACAATAGAAAATACTGTTATGATAATTTTTTCAGTATAATATTGAATGTCAAGTTTATTACTTTAAACTTGTAATGTGATATAAATTTGAGTACATTTATACTTTGGAAAGAAAAGATATGCTATTTTGCAATGTTCTGCATTTCGTCAATTCTTCCACTTACTACATTTATATTCCTAATACCGTCTTTCTGATTAGTCTGTGTTTTTACTTAATAATTCAAAAACGAAACTATTTTTGCAAAGTGGAAAGTTGTTCAGAGCGCGACCTGTAGGACGTAACCTATGGGTTACATCCCCTAAGGGTTAAACTACATCCCCTTTTCAGAACTAACACTAGTTATGAGACACCCAGTATAAATATAAGACAAGGTGAGCTATAATTCAGTATAAAAAATTATAATAGATTCGTACGATTAAAAAACACAAATTTTCAATGTCAAATCGAATGAAAACTTCCAATAGAATTTCACAATTGACATCTTCATTTTTTTTTTTTAATGTAAGACGAAGTTGCATAAATCGAGGTAGATAAGTCAAATGAAATATACCCTTAAATAACCCTAAATTTTTTTGCAAATGGAATAGGAGACTAAATGTCCATATAGTACTACTTAATGTACCTTTGCTGTGATATGATGCTCTCGTTTCTTCAGTTATGCATTAATTGATACACATACACTATTCCTAGGATTAAATACATACTGTAAATCTAGAATTACACGTTATAATTCGAAGTGAAACTATGACAGAGTGGTACAGGTGCAAAAATAAAGATTGACTTCCATCACGTATTTCATTGATGGCTTCATAATCTTCTGTTAATTGATACACATACGCTCTTCCTAGAATTAAATACTATGAATCTTGAAAACAGATCGTATTAGTAATTCGAATTGGAACTATGACAGAGTGGTGCAGGCACGAAAATAAAAATTGACTTCTATCACACATTTCATTGATGGCTTCATAATCTTCTTATTTAGTTAAGATTTACACAGAATCAGTTTTTTTCTCAGCAGCGTACGCAAATTTCATTTAAAATGCATAATTGAATATCTCTTTGTATATGTTATTAAATCTATAAATTTTGTATACTATATAATAATAACCATTATGAATTGTATTGTATACTTGTATTCTGCACTATCAGGATCATACAAATGAACAAATATAAACTTCTACGAATTAATCAAATATCCCTTTACTTGACAGTTAAGTATCTATCAATATCAAAGCAAAATAACCGATAGGAAACATTATAAAGGTCACCACTTTAAAGATAGTATTCTTGATTGAATATCGAAGTATTGTTATCAATTAAGATTTCTACAAATAAAACATACAATATTTTATTCGTTTTTATCGATGCGACTTACGCTTTTGATACGTATATAAAGAGATCAGTACTTACTTCATGAGTTAGTTGACTATTTTTTATCAACATGCAGGCTGTGAGTGTCTCTTCTACTTTGTCTCTTTACCATCGCATATGGTAAGAAAAATTAAAAAAAATATATTCAAGGTTTATATATACAAAGTAAACCTTTCAATTGCTTAGTGTCAATTAATGGAATAATTCCTTTTATTCTTTTTGTCTTGATTCTTCTTTCATTAAAAACCAATCAAGTTAAATAGTTGGAATGAGACATCAAATTTTTAAAGTGACTATCGCGAGTTTAAAAGAAACTCGACTCGTACTACACGTTGTTCTCTGATTTCTGTGTTTACAAGTGAAATACTATTCAAGTCTTCAATTTTTAAAGGAAAAATGTTTAAATTTGCAAGTTTAACCGATTTTTAAGTTAAATGAATATATCTGAAATTTGATAAATGTTACATTAAAAGTGGTTTATAATATTACTATGCATTACTAATATAACAGTGCTGCCAATCATTTTCACGTGCATCTTTTTAAATCTCCGATTTCATTAAATACAGTGACGTTACATGACGACCATTTTGTCAAACGTTTATAAGAATAATTTACCAGAACAAGTCAAATTCTTTATCTAATATCAACGAAATAATAAATGTCACAGAAGAAGGATAAATGATTAAATAGGTACTAATGTTCTGAGAACCATACTTTTCTTACAAGTGTAATAATATAAATGCATTCTGGAATTGCGATTTCGTAAACTTTGGTATACATTTCTTTCTACTCAAATGAAATTACTATTTATCGTAACAAACCTACAAATCATTAGCTCTCGGCCTAACCTCAAACATTCCATAAAAAAATCTGATTTTGGAGAAAAAAAATACTATGCTGGAAAAAATTTGTGTGGTTATGGGTTGTGCCACTTTGATATTTTTTATATACCATTGAGTTGAATGATAAAATCAGGATTGAGGTTAGGCCGAGAGCTACTGATTTGAAACACCACCACAAAAAATTTCAACTTCATCTGAACCTCCGTTTGATCTGTACCCTGGTTATAGTGAGAAAGTGCAGACCGCTCATCTTTTTTGTTCTTAACAATACCGCCCTCATTTCTACTGCTTATGTTTTGAAAACATTTAAATATAGATTCATTTTAACCGAATTCGTCAAAAGATTTGATTGTCCTTGAGCAAAAAAACTCTGACGATTTTTTAAAGATAGGTCCGCTTTAGGTTATGTCGTACTGGTCTCTCCCCTAGATACAAGCATCATCTTCTCTAGTCATCTGGGACACCTGGTTTTCACGCGCCAACTCGTTCGTTGACGTCGGTACCCATCAATGTCAAAATAACACGACCGATAGGGGACATTTCATAGAAATCAACACTTAAAAGATAGTATTTTTAATTAAAAATCAAAGTATTGTAGCACGTTATCGATTAAGATTTCCACAAATAAAATGTAGAATATTTTGTTTGTCTTTATCGATATGATTTGCGCTTTCGATACGTATATAAAGAAGTCAGTACAGTTTTCATCAATCAGTTGGATATTTGTTTGCAACATGCGGGCTGTAAGCGTCTCTCTTCTCTTTTGTATTTTTACCATCGCATATGGTAAGAAAAATTAAAACAAAATATATTCAAGCTTTAAAGTAAACATTCTAATTTTCACATACTATCTCTTAAATTAGGGATTTCATGAAATTAAACTTAATAATGATTAAATTTAATTCAATAAATAATATACCCAATAGATTAAATTTGATCTCAAATAGATTTAATCTCAATTAGATTAAATTTCATTTCATTTTGGTGGATTTCACTTTAAATTAAATATGGCAACCATTTTGTCAAACGCTTACGCAGTGATTTAATAGAACAAGGCGAAACGTTTATCTAATTTCAAGTAAACAATAAATGTCAGGGTAAAATGATAAGCAACTGAATAGAATCTCATGTTTTGAGAGTCATACTTTTCATATAAGTGTAATAATGACGTTGCAATTCACACTTTCAATATCTTTGTAAACTTTAGTATATGTGTCTCTTTAGACAAATCAAGTAATTCTTGTAACAGAATATATGCAGATTGAAGAGGTTCAAAAATAATTAATTATTGCAATATTCTAAATAAGTATTAAAAAATAGAATTGGGGTGCAATTTTTTAATAAAAATTTATGGTCTACAAATTGTGGTCCACAAACAACGTACAATGTTGAATTTGGGAATAAAGTGTGATCTCAAAAATGTGCTTGTCTTTTAACCATTCACGTTTTCCGATCAATAATTATTATTATTACAAAAAGGTTCAATGTATCTCATTTCTATAAAATAGATTATTACTTTTCTTCTGCAATACCGTAGAGGTTATAATTGTGATTGTATTATTGCAGGATTCCCTGAGTCCCAAATTGTTGGTGGCAAAGATGCACCAGTCGGGATGTTCCCATATCAGGTCTCTCTGAGGGATGGTGGAGTCCATTTCTGTGGTGGCTCCATCATCAGTTCCAGATATGTCCTGACTGCAGCTCACTGTGTCGATGAGTATGTTTTACATGAGTAACTCCCATAATCCCGACAGCCAAAATTCCGATTCTCATAAGTCCGTCAACCAGAATCCAGTCAATCTGAAACTCCGACGAACCAAAAATACCGAAATCCAAACTCCCGATACCGACATAACCCGGCAATAATTATTTTTCTATTTCTTATAAAGAACCCTCTACTTCATACAACTACATTAGACAAGCTATTCCAATCCTGTTAATGTATACTTATATATTGTTTTCATAACCGACAGTTCATTGATGAAACAAAATAATTACCAAAATACTGTTAACGATTACCAAAATCTTGGATTATCTTCGTGGTATAGAACACAATTTTTGTACTCTTTGTACTTTCGTGTTATTTAGGTTAATCATGTGAAAAATATATACTATATTCTTTTAGAAGTAAAACATTTTTAAAGTATCGTTTTATAAAGAAATACGTTTGTTGGACAGTTATTATGATCCATCGAACGTCACCGTCCACGCTGGAACGAACCTTTTGAGTTCTAAGGGCGACACTTACCGGGCGGAGAAAATTGTCTTGCATGCCAATTTTAGCCCGAAATATGCTCTCAACGATATAGCCATGATTCGAGTCGACAGAGAGTTTGTCTTCAATGATTTAGTGCGACCGATTCCACTGGCGGCAGGCAACAATACTTACGAAGGATCAGAATGTATTTTGACTGGATGGGGATCTACTGAAGTAAGTTTCATGTTTTATTTCTAAATTTGCAAACTTGCCAGATTGTTAAAATTTGAAATGTCCAAATTTTTCGATTCATGGGGTTCTGGATTTTTAGATTCCTAAGTGAATAGGTTACTAGATTTGTTGATTTCTATATTTCTAGATTTCTAGATTTCTAGATTTCTAGATTTCTAGATTTCTAGATTTCTAGATTTCTAGATTTCTAGATTTGCAAATTTCTAGATCTTGAATTATTAAGGTTATCAAGTTTCTAAGTTTTTAGATTTGTAAATTTTTAACATACTTTGTTAAAATAATTTTATGTTTGATTTGCCTAACATTGTATAATTAATTAAGATAATAATGATAGATGACGTAATATTAATTTATCCATACAGTTTTGGGGACCTGATCCAGACATACTGCAATATATACATCTACGCATTGAAACCCAAGAGAAATGTAAAGCATCAGATAAGAAGGTGGGAAGCAGTCATATCTGCACTTATACCAAAAAAGGCGAAGGAGCGTGCAATGTAAGTGCAATTACCTGACGAATATACATTTACGCTGCATGATCGTATTCTAATTTAACAAAAGAGTCTATTTATCTCTTTGCACTCGAAGATAATTTTATTGTCTACAAGCTGCAACTTAAAAATATTAATTAAAATGTTAAATGAATTCTTTTGAGATTATTATTTCTCTACTAATAAATTCCAATATTGTCTATTTCGCTATGTTTATACATCACATGAGCACTATTATAGAATTAATTAAATAATGCTTATTTCAAATAATTGCATTTAACCGAATGGCGCCTGAGAGGCGCTTCTTGAGCGCAAAGGGTTATTTGACCGCTTCCTTATAAAATCGTTTATTATAAATTATCCTACTGCATTACAATTCCTTATAACATTATAGTAATCATGCATTGTTATCTTATAACGCAATAATAATATTTTCGCCATTTACAGGGTGACTCTGGTGGCCCTCTCGTTGTCAATGGCGTGCAAGTTGGCATTGTATCCTTTGGAATGCCTTGTGCTGTTGGTATCCCTGATGTGTATACTAGAGTATCTTGTTTCACGTCCTGGATCAAGGAACAGCAAACTTACCTTCAGATGAGCGAAACTGTACCACAACCAAAAGACGCCATTTATATTGCCTAAAAATAACGATTGTAATTTAATACTTTTTTAATCGGTCATGAAATGTAATCATAAAGAATCCGGAAGTATAAATAAAACTAATTTATTTGCGCTTCAAGAATGAAATATATATTTGTTGAACACAAAGCATATGATTCACCGATTGCTGGTTGCTAAGTGACAAACCATTGTTCGACACTGTGGACGTCGCAACCTGATTTCATTTATTCTATGCTTTTGTTTCGACAATACTGAAATAATGTTTTGCGTATTAATGTGATCAATTCTTTTTAACTGCGACACTTATATTTCTGAGTCATAAGTTATTGATTGCGATTGTTAGAGTCAAGTCCCTACGTTGTCATATTTCTGCGTCCCCAAATCCCTAAATTCCAAAATCACTGCATTCACCAATCCCTACGTCCCTAAATTCCAATATTTCAAAATCCTTACATCCTCAAGTCCCTACGTCGCCATATTCTTACATTCCCAAATCCTTACAACCTGAAATCCATACATTCACAAATCTCTACGTCCTCCAATCCCTATATTTCAAAATCTTTAGATTCCCAAGTTTCTACATTCCCAAAACTTTACATCCTCAAATGCTTACGTCGCCATATTTCTACATTCCCAAATCCTCACAATCGCAAATCCCTACATTCACAAATCTCTATGTCCCCCAATCCCTATATTTCAAAATCCTTACATCCCCAAATCCCTACGTCGCCAAAATTGTACATCCTCAAATCCCTACGTCGCCATATTTCTACATCCCCAAATCCTCACAATCGCAAATCCCTACAATCACAAATCTCTATGTCCCCAAATTCCTATATTTTTAATTCCTCCTATATTTCAAAATCCTTACATCCCCAAATCCCTACGTCGCCAAAATTGTACATCCTCAAATCCCTACGTCGCCATATTTCTACATCCCCAAATCCTAATAACCTGAAATCTCTACATCCACAAATCTCTGTACCCCTAAATCTTCAGGTTCCCAAATCCCTAAATCCTAAAATCACTACATCCCCAAATCCCTTCGTCTCCACATCCCTACGTCCCCAATCTTTATCCTAAATACCCAGGTTTCCGAATTACTGAATCTTAAAATCCCTGCATCTACAAATCTCTACATCCCCAAATTCCCAGGTTCCCTAATTCCTAGATGCTATAATTCTCATATCTCTAAATTCCCATATTCCTACACGTCCAAATCGCTAAACCACCAAACCGTTGGATTGCTAAATCCTTAAATCTTCGCATCCCTGAATTTCTATATTCTTGCACTTTGAAAATCTCAAAAATCCTGAAAAAAAATGGTTTTTATCCCTACTTGTCTGTTTTTTCTAATGACAGATCGGATACAAGCAAAGTAAGAAACGCAAAATATTGACTATTTACTGCAATGACTGCTGCCAGCATTTATGGCAGGAAATGAACACTCCTTAATGATAAGGAAGTGAGCTGATGAAAGGCACTTGGTCTGCCATATCTATTCGCCGATTTCTATTTCTCTAACATAAATCATATATGTATGTATGACATATATCATTTTATATTATCAATTTATAAATCAGTTACATAATATGTATGTATATGTATATCATATAAAATCAAACAGATCTACAAATTTCATAGAATATATAATTATAAAAATTATATTGTCTTCTGTTGGCAATATTATACACGTCTCAGGATCACAGAGCTTAATATTATAAGCTTCTATGAATTAGTTAAATGTCTCTTTTACGTATCAATCGAGTATCTATCAACATTACAATAGAGTAATTGATAGGAAACATTTCATAAAAATAGATACTTAAGAAATAATATTTTGAATGAAAACTGGTTATCATACGTTATCAATCATGATTTTTACACATAAACAACGAATATTTTCTTTATCTTTTTCGACGTCATTTACGCTTTCGATACGTATATAAAAAGAGATTAATATTGTTTTCATTAGTTAGTTGGTCATTTCTTTCCAACATGCAGGCCCTAAGCGTTCCTATTTTACTGTACGTCTTCGCCATCGCGTATGGTAAGAAAAAACAACATTAAAGAATATATCGAAGCTTCACATTGTTAACATAAATTTTTAGTCTAATCGAAATTGTTATCTGGTATTAAGCATTTACTAATTCTTCTTATACTTTTTTATTTCATTTCTTTTATCATTGAACGATGATTAAGTTATCTCAAAATAAGTGAAATCAACTATTAAACTTTGAAAATGTACACCTATCGCTGATATAAACAGAAATTTTGTTGCATAACAGAAAAAGACAGAATGGAATAATTGCAAAGTATTTAATTACTCGAAAATAAAAATAAAGTATCATGAATACAATTTGGGTAAAATTTTTAACGAAAGACAGCAATTTACATGTATCATTGCATTTGTAAATACAATATGGCCCAAAAAATGTGTTTTCTTTTTAACAATTCTTTTTCTGTTGACAATTATGAAAGTGGTTCTTATTTTACCGGAGAGATTATCTGATTATCTGATTTCCATATCTAATTTATTTATTTCCGCAATACTGTAAATGTGATATTTATTATTGTATTAATACAGGATTCCCCGAGCCCCAAATTGTCGGTGGCACAGATGCACCAATCGGTATGTTTCCATACCAAGTCTCCCTGAGACAATATGACAGACATTTCTGTGGTGGATCCATTATTAGCTCCAGATACGTCCTGACTGCAGCTCACTGTGTCGAGGGGTATGTTTTGCATAGTTCATTACAAATTCCGTGTTTAGAACTTATTTGACCTGTTAGGCAAGGCTGAATTTTACTTGGCACTGCTCTTTACGACAGAGTTCGACTCGAATTACGTTAATAAGTAGCACTGTAATGTGTGACAATGTTCTTTACGCGAGTACATTGGAATGAAGTTCTTGATGATTAAATTATAATTTTTCCCAAAGACATGATACATATACTTTAACCTTGATAATTTACTTTTTTAGAAAATTCACAAAATATGTAACTTCCAAATTTTTTCAATATCGTATTAGTGCAAAGAAATGCACCACAGTGCGTAAACTACTTGGCGTTATTTTTTATTTACATGTAATGTACTTTCTTAGAGAACATGGTGAAGATAAAAAAGTGCGAATCAAAACATGTGAAAACGATCATTCAATTGAAACGGTGAGCGAGTCAGTAGAGTGAGCCATAGAGCTATGTAATCTACGACACTCTCACACATCAATTAAGTCAAAAACAATGACAGTGGCAAATGACAGTCTCGAAAGAGAGTGACATAGTGCGAATTACATTCAACAGCTGTTATTGCCATTATAATTCTCATTTGCCGAGATATAACGAAGTGTTCACGGTGAAGATAGACATAAGATGAAGTGGGGAAAGTTCGTAAACGGGGCAAGTGCGTATACAGGCTATTTTTATTACAATATGAGCAAAATTTCTCCATTTAGTATGTTTGTTTCCTTGTTTTGTTTCATTATATTTGTTTCCTTGTTTTGTTTCATTGTTTGTTTCCTTGTTTTGTTTCATTATATCCCCTTTTATATTTCAGCTAGGAGTACTTGTTTGCAGTATAGAGTACTTGCATAATGCAGTAAAAAGCATTTTATAACAGATTTGTTAATAATTCTGCTCTTGCCTCATTGCACATGAAATAAAATTTCAAGGCATTTAACTTCAAGTTACGCTTTTACCCCATTTTCGAGGAAAGTGCAGAGTAGTTGACATTTTAAACAATTTCCTATCAAAATCAAAATGTACAAGGAAAATTAAGGTCCTAGTTAATATTAATTAAATAGTAGTAATTATGCAAAGCGTTCGATATCGACAACATTAAGTATATACATAGCAGACTGAATGTACTTACGTTTAAATACCAACTTTATAAAAACCAGTCTGTACTTACCTCACTTCACCTTAGCTTCATTCAATTTTGGATCCTCATGCGCCAAATCGTGGGTTGACATCTGTACTTTATCAGCATGTCAATAATTTTGATTGATTCGATCAAATTTACACATCTTATAATGAATCACTGGTACATGATTCACCTAAATACATATATTCTGTATTTCTCAAACTGTACAATGTATCATATTGTTCGTCCTTTCTACTGAAAGGTGTCGTAATGAAAAGATTAATATCAAAAGACTCTGTGATCAGCATCGTTATCTCACCAGACATGTTTGTTTGACAGAATATATGATAAATCGAGTGTCACCATCCATGCTGGAACGAATGTTTTGAGTTCGAAGGGCGAAAGTTACGGAGTGCAGAAAATTGTTTCTCATAGCGGCTATGACTCAAGTCTTCTTATAAACGATGTGGCTATAATTCGCGTCAACAAAGAGATTGAATTCAATGATTTAGTACGACCGATTCCACTGGCTGCGGGCAACAATACTTTCGAAGGATCAGAGTGTACTTTATCCGGATGGGGCAGAATTAAAGTAAGCTTTACATTTTATTAGGGATTCCTATATTTATACAGTTGCGAAATTGTTAAATTTTTTAATTGTCAAGTTTTTCAATGGATAGAAGTCTGGATTTTTAGATTCTTAAATGACTAGATTACTAGATTTATAGATTTCTGGACTGCTAGATTTTTGAATTCCTGGTTTTCTAGATTTTTAGACTTCTGAATTTCTAGATTTCAGGATTTCTAGATTTCTGAAGGATCAGAGTGTACTTTATCCGGATGGGGCAGAATTAAAGTAAGCTTTACATTTTATTAGGGATTCCTATATTTATACAGTTGCGAAATTGTTAAATTTTTTAATTGTCAAGTTTTTCAATGGATAGAAGTCTGGATTTTTAGATTCTTAAATGACTAGATTACTAGATTTATAGATTTCTGGACTGCTAGATTTTTGAATTCCTGGTTTTCTAGATTTTTAGACTTCTGAATTTCTAGATTTCAGGATTTCTAGATTTCTGGATTTCTACATTTCTACATTTCTACATTTCCACATTTCTACATTTCTACATTTCCACATTTCTACATTTCTACATTTCCACACTTCTACATATCTAGAATTCCAAATTTCCAGTTTTTTTAGATTTCTACATTTTAGAAATTAGATTACAGACTTCTAGATTTCTAGATATCTATATTTACGAGGTGTGACACAAAAGTAACGAGACTAGTCCAATAAATCATTGTATCTTCAGAATCAGTTCTCCGTGACATTATCACCTTTAAAGTAGTCCCCTTCAGCATTCATATACTTTTGCATTCGGTGCTGCCATTGCTGGTAACAGTTCTGGAACGAGATTTTTGGAAGTCGTTTCGGGAGATTCTCCGTTTCTGCTTGAACCTCTGCTTGAAGTGAAATAGGTTCCCATTAAGCAAAATTTAACCTTAGGAAATAAAAAAAAGTCGCATAGAGCCAAATCAGGTGAATAAGGAGGATGCCCCATCACAGTAATATTTTTACTAGTCAGAAACTGCTTGGCAGAGACAGATAGTGCCGTGTGAGCGGGTGCTTTGTCCCGGAGCAACAGCCATCCATCGCTTCACAACTGTGGCCTTTTTTTCCTAATTTCTTCACGAAGTCTTTTTAGTATTTCAATGTAATAGCGTTAGTTAACAATCTGATTACTGAGAAATCACTCAATCATTACAATTCCATTAATGTCGAATTTTGATTTTGACATGCGTGCTTTTTTGGGTTTTCGGGATCCTGGAGACTTCCACTGCCTCGACTGGCGCTTACTTTCTGGGTCATAGGTAAAAATCCATGTCTCATCACATGTTACAAAAAGAGTTCAACAAATTTTACAAGAAACTTGATGTTTATTCGCTGTTCGGTTTTTACGTTAGACATTTTTCCGGCAAAATGCAATTGCACGTGTTCACTAAATATCGCAATACTTTCAAATGGTATGAACGATTCAATCGAAATTGGCAACATGGATAGAGGAGGCATGTGGGATGATGCCACAAAAATAATTGCTGCCAATTCCATTGTTTTTTCAAGCTACAGACCCAGTCTCGTTACTTTTGTGTCACACCTCGTATATTTATTCAACCAATTTTTCAATTAGAAAAATTTTAATTAGGAAAAAACGTACTGTACAAATACTTAAAAACGAGATTATACAAATTTCTAACAACTGTACATAATATAATTATACATAAAATTGTAACGACGTATCCCAATATTAACTCAAAATGATTCTGTCAAATTCTGTTTCGTGCGTTTCTGAATTTAATCTCTAAGTGAACAAATGAAGGTAAAAGTGATAAATAGATGATATAATACGAATTTGTTCATTCAGGCTGGAGGACCTATTCCAGACAAGTTGCAATATATAACCCTACTCATTGAAAGCGAAGCAAAGTGTAAACGAGCACACGATAATGTGGAAAGTTCTCATATCTGCACATTCACCAAATTTGGCGAAGGAGCATGCAACGTAAGTATAATTACGTTCATAATATAAAATTTCTATTACAATTTAATGCTAGGTTGATTAGGTTCTAGAGGTACTTTTTTTCTAAAAGACTCCATTATTTGTCATTAGCGTAATTATTGATTATTTTATACATTATTTTCAAGTAATTTTATCTTTCACATCTATCATACCAACTTTTGACATATGTTTTACTTTTTTACATAGAAACTTAGATTATTAGTTCTACCAGTGGCTGTACAGCCATTAATTGCACACATTTTATTCGAATTTCAGAAATTGCAAATTCAATTCGACTTAATAGTTTCGGTTTAAAAATAATTCCAATTTTCATACTGCACATTTAGCAAGTTGTATATCAATAAATAAACTACATATAGAAATAATCACATTTAAAAACTGAAGTTTCCCGCCACCTGTCAGGTCACAAAAGCATCACCAGATGCCGCATTGATCTATAACTTGTGGCGGTTTTTTTAAAATGTACTGTAATTATAACGAATTATTTCATTTTAAAATTTAGTTTACATACGAGAATTTGTATAAAGTATTATGACTAAGCGAAGCCTGAGATCTGACTTTCTTTTTGTTTTATGATAAGTTTACATTCACGTTCTATGAACTTGATCTGATTTAACTAAATTAGGACAACTAGTTAAATTAAATTAGACTTGTTATAATTTAACTAATTTAATATAGTATTCGTTCCTAACGATGTCGTTCCTTATAATTTATCTTACTGCTAATTACTTATAACATTATAATAAAAATATCACGTATTTTTGTGAGAAGGAAATATTGAAATTCCACGAAGAAATAAGAGGTGTCGAATTCCCTTCTGCAAAAAAAATGTGTTCGTTATCATTTAAGACAGTAATTATACTTTCATCATTTTTAGGGTGACTCCGGTAGTCCTCTCGTTATCAATGACCTACAAGTTGGTATTGTATCATTTGGAATGCCTTGTGGTGTTGGTTACCCTGATGTCTACAGTAGAGTATCCTCATTCACGACTTGGATCAAGGAACAGTATACTCTCCTTCAGAAGGACGAAATTGCAGCACAACCGGAAGACATCATTTTCGTTCCCTAAATTTTAACCTTATACTTTCTTAACCAGTTAAGCGTGTTTGACGACTATATCCGTCATGAAGATTTGGCAGAATTTTGTGTCATGACGACTATATCCGTCATGTGTAAAATTTTGTTACAATTTGATATTTAAATTGTAATTTTGGTGAAAACTAAATTTTATTCGTATATTGTAATATGTTTTAAATGTAATTCGTCATAACTTGAATATCGCGACACACACTGGTGCGCGTTTTGCCAAAAGGTCGCCACGCTTAACTGGTTAACTAATCATAAAAATGGAGAATAGAAAATACTCTTATAATAATTTTTTTTAGTATAATATTTAATAAGAATGTCAAGATTATTACTTTAAACTTGTAATCTGATATAAATTTCAGTACATTTATATTTTGGAAATAAAAAATATACTATTTTGCAATGTTCTGCATTTTATCAATTCTTTCACTTGCTGCATTTATATGTATTCCTAATACTGTCTTTCTGATTGATCTGTGTTTTTACTTAATAATTCAAAAACGAAACTATTTTTGCAAAGTGAAAAGTTGTTCAGAGCGCGACCCGTAGGACGTAACCTGTGGATTACATCCCCTAGGGGTTAAACTACAACCCCTTTTCGGAACTTACACTAGTTATGAGACACCCTGTACAAATATAAGATAGGGTGAACTATAACTCAGTATAAAAAATTATAATACATTCGTACAATTAAAAAACACAAATTTTCAATGTGAAATCGAGTAAAAACTTCCAATAGCATTTCACAATTGACATCTTCATTTTTTTTTTTTAATGTAAGACGAAGTTGCATAAATCGAGGTAGATAAGTCAAGTGAAATATACCCTTAAATAATCTTAAATTTTCTTGAAAATAAAATAGGAGGGTAAATGTCCATATACATGTCCATATAATACTACTACCCTTCCTGTGATATGATGCTCTCGTTTCTTCAGTTATGCATTAATTGATACACATACACTCTTCCTAGGATTAAATACTGTAAATAATAAAAATTACTTGAATGAATATATTAATTAATGTATAGAACTAGGTCTGTTTGATTGAGGCGCTCCGCGCCTAACCTAACAATCTTGAGCGAGCGAGTAAATTTCACGCTAGAGCAAAAATAGTCAACCGTGTCATCCGGTTGAGTTGGTTGAGTGGTGCAAGAGAAAAACGTGGACAAAAATGTTGAAAAGTCAAGTACATAAGCGCGAGCAAATTCAATTTTGCATTAAAGTCTACGGCGATATGGTTTTTCCGTGATTATTCTTCCGTGGCATGCGCGGGCGGCGCGTAGGATGAATATACACGATAATGAGTATGCAAAATCGTTAATTACTCACTTTCTGAGCACAGTCTATGCACTTTTATGATTAAAGAATATTCAGTGGTTCCCTAGCTACTTTCTCATATCACATATGTTCACATTTTTATTGTAAACAATTAGATATTAATTAATATCCAACACGAAGTCGGCGGAATACATCGTACGCGTGAGCTAATTTGAAATAATTAATAATACATTTTCTAAACACAATTTATGCACTTTTATTATAAAAGAATGTTCAGTAAATCCTCAACTACTTTCTCGTATGATATTTGTTCAGATTAACTAATAATCTAAGGCCAGCCTCGGTGACAAGCGGTATACACGAGGTCATTTTGAATAATTAATTACACGTTTCGTGGATATATTTTGTGCACTTTTATGGTTGAAAAATGGTCAGCAATGAATTATTTACGTGGTTCGATCATAAAAGTTCATAAATAATGTTCGGGTAATGAGTAATTAATTTCGCCGCTAGATGACGCCGCTAGTTTTGTCCATAAAATGACATTTTCTTTATTTTCTTTATTAAAGCCTTTAGGAAGCTTTTATTGCATTATTTTACTTCTAATGCGATCATATAATACTTTCTCAGCCTCAGAAGTACTCAAAGTTCGCTAATTTTCGAGAAAATCGCTTTTTTATATTTTTGTAGTTCCGACTTTCACCGCTAGATGGACGCCAATTTTTTAGACCAAGTTTTGGACTATTTTTCTATTTCGTTTTCTAGCGCTTTTAGGGGGTTCTGGTGGCATTATATAAGTTCCAGAGAGGTCACAAATTGATTTCTGACCCTCAGAAGTACTTAAAATTTGCTAGTTTTCGAAAAAAATCGAAATTTTAGTTTTTCGTAGTTCCGCCGCTCGCCGCTAAATGGCGCCACCTATACCATTTTGGACCGAATTCGACAAAAATTAATTTTCTAGCTTTATTAGGCATCAAAACGCATCAAACCCTAATAGAAATTTGTTTTTAAATGCCTCAGGAACCATACTACGTCGTCAAAGTGCCGGAATATTCATTATTTTATTTTCCTTATTTGCGTATTCGGACCCTCATTTTTTAAGTTTATTTCTCACGTTCCGCCGCTATATGGACGCCATCCGCTAAATGGACGCCAATTTTTTAGTCCATAAACTGCACTATTTGTAACGGTTTGCTACTGCGCATGGGGTCAAAGTTCAAAATTGACCGTTAATTTCCAGGAGTGTATTTCAGCCCAGAGTGAAATATTTTCACCCCTTAAACCTGGACGGCTCAAGTTGGTCTCGATATGTACAAGAATATTTTTTGAACGAAGATATACATATGTATAAAACGGTATATTTATCCGGAAATAGTGTTTTTAAAATGTATGTGTTGAATATCAAACGGTGGGTGTTTTGCAATATTCCCAATAACGAAAATTCCAAGCGCGAGGAAATTCAATTGTTACATTGAAGTCTATGAGGATCAGTTTTTTCGGTGATTATTCCCCCGTGACAAGTCCGATTTAAAATTTTTTTTCTATGTCCATCTGGATGTATACATATACGCAAGTGCGTGCAAAATTTGATGAGAATTGGTTGAGTGGTGCCAAAAAAAAACGCGAACAAAGAAGTTGCAAAGTCAAGCATAAGAGCTTGGCTCGCCTTCGGCTCGCTCGCTCAATTACACGCCATATTCGTAATTTGAATTAGAACCATGACAAAGTGGTACAGATACCAAATAAAAATTGACTCCATCACGTATTTCATTGATAACTTCATAGTCTTCTACTAATTAATACACATATACTTTTCCTACAATTAAATACTGTAAATCTGGAATTACACATTATATTCGTAATTCAAATTAGAACTATGACAGTGTGGTACAGGCACGAAAATAAAAATTGACTTCCATCACACATTTCATTGATGGCATCATAATCTTCTTATTTACAAAGATTTTCTTATTTAGTTAAGATTTACACAAATCTACGGGTTTTTTCTCAGTAGCGTACGCAAATTTCATTTAAAATGCACAATTACTTTGCATACGTCATTAGATTTATAAATTTTGTATACATTATGAATTGTATTGTATACTTGTATTCTGCACTATCAAGATCATACAAATGAACAAATATAAACTTCTACGAATTAATCAAATATCCTTTTGCTTGACAGTTAAGTATCTATCAATATCAAAATAAAATAACCGATAGGAAACATTATAAAGGTCACCACTTTAAAGATAGTATTCTTAATTGAATATCGAAGTATTGTTATCAATTAAGATTTCTACATATAAAACATACAATATTTTGTTTGTTTTTATCGATGCGATTTACGCTTTCGATACGTATATAAAGAGATCAGTACTTACTTCATGAGTTAATAGTCTATTTTTGATCAACATGCAGGCTGTGAGTGTCTCTCTTCTACTTTGCCTCTTTACCATCGCATATGGTAAGAAAAATTAAGAAAAAATATATTCAAGGTTTACATATACAAAGTAAACCTTTCAATTGCTTAGTGTCAGTTAATGGAATAATTCCTTTTATTCTTTTTGTCTTGATTCTTCTTTCATTAAAAACCAATCAAGTTAAATAGTTGGAATGAGATATCAAATTTTTAAAGTGATTATCGCGAGTTTGAAAGAAACTCGACTCGTACTACACGTTGTTCTCTGATTTCTGTGTTTGCAAGTGAAATATTCAAGTTTTTAATCTTTAAAGGAAAAGATTTAAATTTGCAAGCTAACCGGTTTTGAAATTAAATAAATATATCTGAAACTCGATAAATGTCACATCAAAAGTGGATTATAATATTACTGTAGATTATAATATTACTGTGCATTACTAATATAACAGTGCTGCCATTATTTTCACGTGCTTCTTTTTAAATCATCGATTTTATTAAATATAATGACGCTATGTGGCAGCCATCTTGTCAAACGTTTATACAGAATAATTTACCAGAACAAGTCCTTTATTTAATTTCAACTAGACAATAAGTGTCACAGAAGTAGGATAAATGATTAAATAGGGACTAATGTTCTGAGAACCATACTTTTCTTACAAGTGTAATAATATAAATGCATTCTGGAATTGCGATTTCGTAAACTTTGGTACACATTTCTCTCTACACAAATGAAATCACTATTTATCGTAAAAAACCTAACAAATAAAGTAGTTAAAACATCGTAAATTACTCAAATATTTAAAATAAATATGTGGAATAAGATTGGAGTATTTTTAATACAAAGCTGCGGTTCACATACAACATTGCATTTATGAATAAAATGTGGTCCCGAAAGTGTAATTCTCCTTTAACCGTTTACCTTCTTCGTTTAACAATTATAAAAGAGGTTCAGCGTATATCATTTCCATAGAATAGCTAATTTATTCGTTTCTGCAATTCCGTAAAAGTAATAACATGTGATTGTATTAATATAGGATTCCCTGAAACCAAAATTGCCGGTGGCAAAGTTGCACCAGCTGGGATGTTTCCATACATCGTCTCCCTCAGAAAAGAGGGAAAACATTTTTGTGGTGGATCCATCATCAGTTCCAGATTTGTTCTAACTGCAGCAAGTTGTGTCAAAGGGTATGTTTTATACAGTTTATTACGAGTCTAAAATTGATGATCAATGCTTGTGTATCACCAGACACGTTTGTTCCATAGATTATCGGAATCAGTGCAAGCCACTGTCCACGCGGGAACGAATCTTTTAAATCAGGAGGGAGACGCTTACTATATAATGATAGTTACTTATCATAGTGGCTTTAATGAGACAAGTTTAATCAATGATATAGCTCTAGTGGGTATTGTTGGGGAGATCGCCTTCAATAATTTAGTACAACCGATTCCGTTGGCTACAGGCGGCAACACTTATGAAGGATCAAAGTGTGTTTTATCCGGATGGGGAAAAATTAAAGTAAGCACTACATTTCAGTAACTTCTAAATTTCCAACTTTTGGATTTTTAAATTTACTGTGTAAAAATATTTATTGTTCTGATTTCTTGATTTTTAAATTTTTGAGGATCTAAACTCAAATACTAAAATACAAATTTTTTTTTATTAGAAAAAAGATTTCTAAATTCCAAATTTGTGGTTTTCTAGATTTTTAGATTTCTAGATATCTAAATTTGTGTAGTTGTAGATTTACAAATTTATAAATTTTTAGATTTCTAGATTTTTAGATTTTTAAATTTCCAGATATCTAGATTTCTAGATTTTTAGATTTCCAGATATCTGGATTTCTAAATAGCTATATTTATAGTTTTCTACATTTCCAGATTCCCTTTATTTTTAGTCCTACACTTCTTTAAAACTCTAAATTTATAAACCTTCATATTCCTAGATTTCTACATATATTTTTACACCACTTCTTATCTAAATTTCTACATTTTAAAATTTCTATATTTCTTTCCTAAGATGATTACACCTAATCTTGCTTTAGTCGTTTAATGTGTAATTGAGCAAATCAAAATAACAATGATAAATGGAAGATATAATGAATTTAATGTTACAGGGAGACGGACATGGTTCCAGCAAACTTCAGTACATAGATTTACTTGTTCAAAAGCAGTCAGAATGTAAACAAGTACATAGCAATTTGCAAGATACTAACATCTGCACTTTTACCAAATACGGCGAAGGGATATTCAAGGTAATTAAAATTATCTCATTTTACAACATGAATAACACACGAAATAGAATTTAGATAAAAATTTAGAGCTAAGTTAATCCGGTCCTAGAGAACTATTTTTCGACCATATGATGTTAATAATTAATAAACAACTTATTCTTTTTATACAATATTTTCATATAAGTCTAACTTTCATATCTACCGTAATAACGTTGGATAAATATTATTGTACTTTTCTAAACAAAAAAATTTAATACAACTTCTACCAATGGCCTTAAATTACTGGTTTTACAAATTTTATTTGAATGTTAAACATTCAATTCGACTTGATCGTTTCAGTTTAGAAATAATTCGCAACTTTAATTCCAATTTTCATTTTGCACATATAATTGTATATCAGTAAATAGAATACATTGTATGAATAATAATATTAATCTGAATCATATTTTAAAGCGGGGCTTTTCACTTAACGAAAGAATCACCAGATGTCGCATTGATCTATAACTTAAGGCGGGTTTTTTAAAATACAGTAAAATTATCACGAATTATTTTCTTATAAAACTTCGTTCACAGATGTAAATTTGAAAATAAAATTCTAAGAAGGAGGGAGAGTACTGCGTTTATTGCAGCCATGTGGCGATTTTACTGTCACGTTCTATGAACACATTCTAAATTAACAAAAGTCAAATTATTGTGGGATTTCTTCAAAAAAAGCAATCGTTCGTTATAAGTTACTCTACAGTATTGTAATTTCACATAACATTATTATAATAATGTGAAATAGGGTAAGTGCAGACTGGTTTTTGTAAAGTTAGTATTTAAACGTAATTATATTCAGTCTGCTAAGTAAATACTTAACGCTGTCGATATCGAACGCTTTGCACAGTTACTACTATTTAACTATTATTAACTAGAACCTTAATTTTCCTTCAACATTTTCATTTTGATAGGAAATTGTTTAAAATGTTAACTACTCTGCACTTTCCCCGAGAATGGGGTAAGAGCGTAACTTGAAGTTAAATACTTTGAAACTTTATTTCATGTGCAACGGGGCAAGAGCAGAATTATTAACAAATCTGTTATAAAATGCTTTTTACTGCATTATGCAAGTACTCTATATGCAAACAAGTACTCTTAGCTGAAATATAAAAGGGGATATAATGAAACAAAACGAGGAAACAAACATACTAAATGGAGAAATTTCGATCATATTGTAATAAAAATAGCCTGTATATGCACTTGCCGCGTTTACGAATTTACCTCACTTCACCTTAGTATCTCGTATTTTTCTTAAAAGGAATTTCAAAACTCCTTAAAATAATAAGTCTCTTATGCGAAAGAAAGAATGTCTTATCAATAATTATACTTTCTTCATTTTTAGGGTGACGCTGGTAATCCTCTCGTTGTCAATGGCGTGCAAGTTGGTGTCGTATCATATGGAAGACCTTCTGCTACTCGCTACCCTGATGTCTACACAAGGGTGTCCTCATTCGAGTCCTGGGTCGAAAAAGCAAAAAACACAGTTTCAATCGGAAGAAATGCAGAACAAGAAGACGTCACTACTATTTTTCTGAAGAAATAATTGTTGCCTAATCAAACATGAAGACAGCAAAGATACTCCTCTGATAATTCCTACAATAGTTAATATAAAGTACATAGTTAAATTTGAAATGTATTACTAGTAAATTACAGTAAATGTGATATTAATTCAAATTCATCTGGATATTTTATTTATATAATAATATGCATTTATAAATTACTAACATATAACTTATTTTATGTATATTATATTAGATTATACTAACACATAATTAATAACGTATGTATACATATAAATTGCTTTGCAGCTTTTACGATTTAATCTGACCAATATTTTTTATTTATTACATTTATTTTCCTCGGTCATAAGTTATTTGCTATATCAAATTAATACATATTGATGTAAACATGTAGTCAATATGAACAACTATATTTCCGTATAAAGTATTACAAATTTACAATCCATTTGAAAAGTTAATAAATGTTACAATCCAAAAATCCGTATCTCCAATGTAAAAACAAATCGAAAATTTATCACTTTTCAATCGAGAATTTTGCATAAAGCAATAGATCTATAAATTTTGAATATAATTGCATTTTGTTTACAATGTTTTACATATATTAGCTCTTAAAACTGAACAAATATTATAATCTCGATTTAATTAAGTAAATATCCCTTTCACGTATCAATCGAGTACCTATCAGTATCAAAATAAAACAACCGATAGGGGACATTTCATAAAAGTCAATACTTAAAAGATAGTATTCTTAATTGAAAATCAAGGATTGTCACACGTTATCGATTAAGATTTTTACACATAAAAAGTGGAATGTTTTGTTTGTCTTTGTCGACGTAATTTATAATTTCGATACCTATATAAAGAGGTGAGCACAGTTGTCACCAGCTAGTCAGCCATTTTATTCAACATGCAGGCTCTAAGCGTCCTTCTTCTTAGCCTCGTTGCCACTGCATATGGTACGTTATGACAATCTTAGTAAAAACAATTTTAAACTTCACATTTGCAAAGTCAATAGTTGATAATCTTTAGTTTAATTGAAATTATCGTTTACATTTAATTATTAGCTTACATTAATTTAATTATTAGTTTATACATTTAAGTACCATTTATTTATAATACATTTACTTCTTCTATTTTATCTTTTGCATTATTTCGCTAGAAGCTAATCAAGTGGAAATAAGTATTATTTCTAAATAACTATTATCTAAGTAACTATTTTCAATAGTTAACTTTAAACAAAAGTACTTTCATATTGCGAGATCTCTGATTTTTGCGTTAATGTGTTATTTAAATTTATAATTCTCAATTTTTAAGTTTACAAATATTTTTTTACCAAATGTGAAACGTCTGATTTTAAAAGTTTGGCAAAAACAAATATGTTACTTTTTTAATGAAATTGACTTTTTTAATGTAAATAAGTTTAAGTATCTCGAAATTTTTGTGAGGAATATAAAAAAGTATTGAAAAACAGCTACCTTAAAATAGCATATATAATTTTTAACGGAAATTGAGAAGACTACTTTTTTATTATGAAAAGTGAATATTTATTTAAATAAAAAGGTAAATCAATAAATATTTCTAATTCTTTTTATCTTATATGACATAATTTTCTTCCATAACAGAACAAAAATAACAATAACAAAATAGTTAAGTAATTTGTATTTCTTTATCAATATTATTCAATTTCCTAGAATTCAACGGTGTTATCTGGTGATAGGAGTGTCAGATACTTGTGTTTACAACTGTATTGTATAATACTGAAAATGTAGAAACCGTAGAAGTAAAATTATTTTACAACTTGTGAATTTAAATGTATAGGATTACCCGAACCGCGAATTATTGGTGGTAAAGAGGCACCAGTGGGAAAGTTTCCTTACCAAGTTTCCCTGAGACAAAGTGGACGCCATTCCTGTGGCGCATCCATCATCAATTCCAGATATGTCCTCACTGCAGCTCACTGCGTCACCGGGTATGTTTCATATAATTTATTACGAATTCAGCTTTTAAAATTTATTTAACCTTTAACTAAATCACTCAAAATGTTTCTTACAAGGAAGCGACTCATTATTTTAACTTGACAAAATTATAAATAGTTCTTGGAAGTCCAAAAGTTTCAAGGTTCACGTACTCAGAATTCTATATTTCCAAGTTCAAAATTTCCAAGCTGGCGAATTCCCGAAATTCCCATTTCTAGACTCTCGTATTTACATATTTACAAATTGTCAAATTCTCAAATTTCCGAATTCTCAAGTTTCCAAATTCCCAAGTTTCCAAATTTCCAAATTTCCAAATTCCCAAATCCTCAAACTTCCAATTTCCTAAATTCCTAGTTTTCTAAATTCCCAAGTTCCTATTTTCCTAAATTCTCGAGTTCCTATTTTCCTAAATTCCCCACTTCCCAAACACTAAATCACTAAATTCTCGAATTTCCAAATTCCAAAATTGTCAAATTCTAAAATTTCCAAATTCCAAAATTTCAAAATTTTAAGATTCCAAAATTCTAAGATTCCAAAATTCCAAAATTCCAAAATTCCAAAATTCTCAAGTTCTTAAAGTTCGCGCTACCTAAATTCTCAAATTCCTAAATCCAATTTCAAGAATTATTCTCGAATTTCCTAAATTCTCAAATTTCTAAATTCACCTACCATTTTCACACATGATACTTCACCCATCATTCGTACTATCTTCAGAAGATTTTGTGCAATAGATTGAAGAGTCCAAAGAGTATCACCGTTCATGTTGGAACGAATCTTTTGAGTTCGGAGGGAACACCTTACGAAGTCGATAAAATTGCTTATCACCGTTACTTCACTCACCTGCTGCTTATCAACGACGTAGCTTTGATTCGTGTTGTGAAAGACATCGCCTTCAACGATTTAGTCCAACCAATCCCATTGGCCTCAGGCAATAAAACTTACGAAGGATCACCCTCTGTTCTGTCAGGATGGGGAATGGTTCATGTGAGTGTCATTTTCTAATTACAGCGATGTTTTGATATAAGTTAATCTTTCGGATCATAGCTTCTGTTCTATATTGAATGTATATTGAGTATAATATGTGTTGTTTTAGAAATATTTAGTATAAGGTAAATATTTAGTAGAATATTAGAATAAGGGAGTAGAATTAGTAGAAAAACTGTTTTAGTAAAAGAGAGTAGAATACAGGAATAAGTATTTAGAACAAGAGAGCTATCTCTGATTTCGAGTGCCTTGAAATATGTTGTTAAGGTTGTCATTCCGAACAACTTTTTCTTATACATATGATAGTCGGATACTTCTAGTTTTCCACATATTTGAGAAAATAACACGCTTTAATGAAACTATATTATTTTGGGAGGCTTTGCTCCTCCAAACGTTCCCTCCTCGACGACGACCATAACCCCAAACCTTTTTCGGAAAGATTTTTTAGATGCTTCGAGAACACATATGGAGAGTAATGAACGGGTAGTGTATAGGCATGGGTTTAGTACTGACAAATGCTAAACGAAGTACATATTAGTCGTTTATTCATTTTGACTTTCAAGGCATATATACCTAACCTAACCATTATTTTGAAAAACTAACCTAATCTAACAACCTAACCTAATCGTTATTTTGAAAAACGCATCTTGACATCATATTTCAAGGTGATCGAAATCGGAAGTGCCTCCCTTATTCTGAATATTTACCATAAACAGTAACAATCTTACTTAAAACAATCTTAATGGAAGAATAAAACTTCTTTATCTTTAATTTTATTGGTACGAAACGTCTACCATTTCTGTCATTTTTCTTATTAAAGTGAGAAGAACGTCGTAATTAGGAACCTATTAAATAACATTTGATTTTGTTCCGTCCGTGCATGTGTAACTTACACATGTGTAACGTCCCAGGAAGTCAACCACTTTTGAAAAAAATAAAATTCAATTGTGGTTGGCTCCCTGGGATGTTACACATGTATAAGTAAATAGTTTGAAATAAACGTATAAAGTTTAATATAAAATGTTTATTATTGCAGCTAGACGAAAATCTTCCGGATCGTCTGCAGTACATAAATCTCCAGATTGAAAATCAACAAAAGTGCAGAGAAAAAATTTATGATTTACACATAGCCGTGGTAAAATCTCACATCTGCACTTTCACCAAATACGGCGAAGGAGTGTGCAGGGTAAGCAAAATTATCTCATTTTTCGCTATGAACTGAATAAGATTCAATTTTTGAAAAGTGTAAAGATCGGTAATTTTTAAGAACACAATTTTGTACATTGTTAATTCCATCGTTCACCGTTAGACGGCAGTACTTGTGTCATATCTGAACGAATATAATTAATATTTAACCACTTAAGTGTGTTTGACGACTATACCCGTCATGGAGATGTGACAGAATTTTGTGTCATGACGACTATATCCGTCATGCGTAAAATTTTGTTACAATTTGATATTTAAATCGTAATTTTGGCGAAAACTAAATTATATTCGTAAATTGTAATATGTTTAAAATGTTTAGAGGTCAACACGAAATGAAATAAACAAATAAAAAATGTAAATGATTTGAGAGGATTCATAAATTCTTGAGACCTAACTCGTCATCGCTTGATTATCGCGACACACACTGG